CAGGCTTTTCAGTATTTACTGTTGGGTCCCTTGAATCGGGCGGCTCACACTAGGTCCAGGGCCGAAGTGGATGAGAAGTTGAATGAAGTGGCGCAGTCCATTGGGGATCTTTGGCCGAATAGAGAGTTCGGGGACGCATTCGCAGCTTTGCGTCGTCTAGGAGCTGCTGGCAAAAAGCACCGTCAATCGAAGGTTTTGCCAGCCGTCCAGGGGCCAGATGGACACCCTGTTGCATCTGTGCAGGAGGCCAACGAGCTTTGGCTTGAGCACTTTGCTGCACAGGAAATGGCCGCCAAGATCGAGCCGGCCTCTTCTGATAATATTTCAAGATCGGTGTGTTCCTGCAGATGTGGTATCTCGCAAGCATGCATGTGTACCTACGTTGCAGGATTTCCGCAGAGAGTTGCGGCTCACTAGAAGCAGTGCAGGTGGTGCTGATGGCCTACATGGCAAGTTTGTGCACGCTTGCGCTGATTCATTGGCTGTCGCCTTCTACCCGCTCATTGTCAAATCAGCATTACTTATATCGGAACTGTTGCAATGGAAAGGTGGAGACTTACCCCGTATCCCCAAAGCTCGTGGTTCCGTGTATACCCCTAGTGCATCTAGATCTATACTTGTGGCGTCACACATTGGCAACAAATACGATGCATGTCTGAGAAGAAAGCTTATACCGGCGATGCAGTCTGCGGTAGGCTCCCATCAGTATGCTGGAGTGCCTGGTCGAGGCACACAGCTGGCGCTGCTTGCTACGCGTGTGCTACAGAGATATGCGCAAGCGGCTGGCCTCTGTCTCTGCTTTCTTTTTGTGGACGTCATGAGTGCCTACTACATGGCTATCCGAGAGTTGGTCATCAAGACAGATGTTTCCCCAGAATCCCTCACCTCTCTTTTGGAGCAAGCTGGCCTTCCTGCATCATATCTCCCGCTCCTGGCGCAACGATTGCAAGAGCTGCCTTCGTTACACAATCAGGATGTGTATGATCATTTCAAAGCTATGGTGGAGGATAGGTTTGGATGGTTTCAGTTTCCTGGAGCTACGCGTATTGCTGTTACGTTTAGAGGTACCAGGCCAGAGACCCCGTTTGGGGATGCTTTGTTCCTGTTCATAATAGCTGAGGTCACAAACAACATAGCTAGGGAGCTCAAGGAGATTGGGCGAACCTTTTCATTCTCTGTGCCATCCAGCAATATTTTTGAAGACACTCCAGCAGCTGGCGCAGAAGCTATGCTTCCTGGTATGGTGTATGCAAATGGCTCTCTATATGCATTGCTCGCGCCGATACCAGTGATTGAGGAGAGTCTGGAAGACTTCTGCAGAATTGCTGTCAACTCATACGCGTGTGTTGGCTTGGTGCCGCATTTGAAGATTGGAGTTGATGTTGCAATTGTCTGGCCCTGGGCCCGCCAAGTTTCGACGCCATGTGTTTCATTCATTGGGAAAGGTTTATCCTGTGAGGTCCATGTTTGTAGGTGGGGCCATACATGTTGTTCGCACTGCAATACATTTAGGTTCTGTTATTGCTGATCGTGCGTTATTGGGTCCTGGGCTTGTGCACCGCGAAGCTGAATCTCGAATGCAGCTATCAGTGCTAAGCAAAGCCTTCAAGAGGGCTACCAATGCATCTATCGTACCTAAATTAATATTTACCGATTCCCTTGTCATGAATTCTGCGTTGTACGGTGCAGGTACATGGTACAATTTGTTTAGCAGTGACTTGAATAGAGTGCGTTCACACTATGTACGAAGATATAGGCGTGTGCTGCGATTGCCGTGCTTTGAGGCTGGAGGCCCTACAGACGATGACGTCGTGTCCGCTGCACTAAGGCCTGTGGTGGCTGTGGTGCTACGGGCGGCTCGGCTTCGATTATTTGGACAGGTCCTGGCAGCTGCTCCTATTCCTCTTCTGGCTCTATTGCATGCTGAGTACATTCAGGCTAACGCAAGGGCTAAACAAAATTCATGGTTGCATCAGATCCTGGGCGATTTTTCCTGGCTAAGATCGTCTCAGCATGCTTTCCAGGACATGCCCCTGTCTTCCTCTGACTCGGGGGCCTGGGTTAAGAAAGTGCAAGCGTCCAGGGGGTCTTGGTTGCGTGCTATTCAGGAAGTTACTAAGGCGGTAGTTGCTAAGGCAAGGCGAGATCTGCAAAGGTTCCAGATGGGAGAAGCGTCTCCTGAACATGATGAAAAGTGAAGGCCTTCCGTCTGCCAGAGACTTGCACGAACCTGTTGCGCGTAAGTGTTGCAAGTGTCATTTTTGCGACTTTGTCACTGAAGAAATACCCTCTTCGGACGCCCACATTTGGGCTAACCGTACTACTCTATCAGGCATTGCTCGGAGACATGTCGGTGAGAATAAATGCATGGCTTGTTTAAGAATGTAAGAATCGAGAGCGCTGCTGGTCAGACATGTTACGACCTGGCGCCCGATTTGCATGGTTTTTTTCATGTAACGCAGGTTCCTCCTCACACGCCAGAAGTGTTGATGAAGCTTGCTGAGAAAGAAAAGCAGGAAAACAAGCTGGCCTTTCAGAAGGGATATTCATCCTCACATGCCTCAATTCCGTCATGCATAGCCTCAGGCCCGGTCCATCCTGCAGCCAGGGGCCTCAATGCTATGTGTACTCGGTCGCAGGCACAGCAGTTCTTGCAGAATGTTCTTCTGGATGTTACTGGCTGGTCTAGGAAGGCCCTAGATCAGATGAAGGCAGATGGCCCCCCTGCTCCAGGATCTGTAGACGGCATCCTTCTAGATTGGCCATATGAGAGGAACGAATATACGGGTAGGCTTGCTTCTATAGTACCTCGCAGACTGCATCACCGATCCGTTTTTATTGCTCATTTGTTTTGTGGCCAACGGCGTGTTGGTGACATTCAATGTGCCGTAGAAGCTGCGTTGGGGCTCGTGCTGCCTGATGTTGAGATACGTGTCCTGTCCATAGACATTTTATTAGGCTCTGATGTTGGAGACATTAGTAGGCCATCTACTGTTGAGCTCTGGGCTGCTCACATTAAAGCAGGTAGAGTTGCTGTAGTAGGAGGGGGGCCCCCCATGTGAAACATTCTCCGCGTCTAGGTGGAAAGGGGTCACTCCTCCGCTGAGGTCCTGGAAGGCTCCATGGGGGCTGGCGGCTTTATCCCCCAGGCAGAGACTCCAAGTTCAGGTAGCGAATGATTCATATATGGCCATCGTTGAATTACTATGTGTGGCGGCATGTGTTGGTGCTGCTGGGTGGGTCGAACATCCAGCGTCACCCTCCTGGGAGCCAAGAGCAGTCCCATCGTGGTCCTTCCGCCCCGCTAAGGCCCTTGTTTCTGCTTCCGCTTGCTCGTTTACGGAGTTTGATCAGTGTGAGTTTGGCCAGGAGGGTAGGAGCACCGACAGGAATTCTGGCTGTCAGAATGCAGTCGTTACCCATGCTAATGACATCCACCCCAGGAGGAGGGAAGTGTAGCCACGGTCCTAGAGCCCATGCAATGTTGTTGGGCAAGAAGACTGACGGCTCCTTCCGTACTTCCAGGAAACAAGTGTACCCTCCAACATTGTGTACTGTTATATCTCGAGCCATGCTGGACACGGTTCTCCCTAATATTCAGCTTTGTGAGGAGAATGACAATGATCAGTGTGAGCTGCTCAGTTTTTTTCTCCGTTTCCACGGCTTCACTAGTCTCAGAGGCTCCAGGTCTGAGCCAAGACTTTGCAGTGCCAATATCCGATAGGAAGCAGTCAACTTACGCTAGGATTAGGTCTATCATTGGCGAAGATGAGGAAGTGTGTGATGGTCGTGGGAATTATCAGGACACGCACTCCATCGCCATGTCGTTTGCAAGAGAGCCCATTCCAGAGACTCCAGGGAGCTTCCACGGGGTTTCAGACCTGCGTAGTGTTCCCTCTGCTCCTCCACCACCCCTTCCCATTCCCTTGTCCGAGGCTGTCCTGGCAAGGATTGCGTCCAACAGAGCCGAGGCGGTGCGTCGGCGCAGGGAGAGAGTGGCCGAAAGAAAGCGACTTCCCATTTTTAGTTTGAATCTGTTCGGGCCACCTCCCGAGCTGCCGCCACCAACCTCGTCCAGGGAGAAAGTCCAGGCTGACCTCCACAGGTGGTTCAAGGCTGCCACGGATGATGGAACAGGAGCATGCTAGCTTCTTTTTGTCATTGTTTGTGTTGTGTATTGGGATGTTGGGATGATTGGAGGATGTTTGTATGAGAGGATTGGGGATGGAGGTTCGTTCTTGTGCAGCAGTGTTAGGTCACGCTGGTGCCGAATCAGGCTGGCACTCAGATTCCATATCGGGAGTAGATTACCGAACTCATTTTTGAGGCCCTTCATAGGGCCTCTCTGGTCTGCAAGAATAACGTGTCTTGCACACCCCCGGCAGTGCCGTCCTGAGTGACGGTCTCTCGCGGATCCCCGAGTTCCGAGTTCCGAATTCCTCCCCCTTATTCCCCCACCCGATTATCATCGTGATCGTCATCCACTTCTTCTTCATCATCATATCACCATCGTCACAATCGTCATCGCCATCGCCATCGGCATCATCATCACCATAACCATCATCATCATCGTCACCATCACCAGCGCCATCGGCCATCGTCATCGACAGCGCCATCCTCATCCTCATCTCGCCTTCCAACCCTTCCTCCTCCCCCTGCTCAATTTCGGGGGGAGGCGCGCGCGCGAGAGAGCACGTCGGCGACGGCGCTCGACGACCGACGACCGTAGAAGACGGCGACGACAACGACGACAACGATGGATGACGACCGACGGGGACGAATGACCACGGCGAAAGACGCCATCCCTCCTCCACCTGCCCTGTCTTCCCTCGCCCTCCACATCGCTCCTTACCTATCCTACTCACCCCTCCTCCCACTGTCCTCCTCCTTCTCCTCCACCTTTTCCTTTCCCTCCTCCTCATTTTCCTCCTCCTCCTCCTCTTCCTGCCCCTCCTCTCCCTCGCTCGCACCGCGCTCGTTCGTGCCCCCTTCCCTTTTCTATCCACGACCCGCCATGACGACACTGGCAATATGGGCGCGACAATGCCGCCCCTTTTGGCGTTGCCGCCGCAATCACAGCAGCTTCTTCGCGCGAGACCGCGCGGCAACTCAGTCGAAGGCGAACGCAATGGCTACAACGCACGCTCACCAAACACAACGCCGCTCCAATCAAACGCGGCGTCGCTCCGACCGAAAACGGCATCGCGGCAGCCGTGCCAGCGCTCTGTCGGAGCGTGCCCCTGTCGCCAAGCGCGGGCGTCGCTCCAGCCGCAGAGCGGTGTCGCGACGACCCTCTGCTCACGTTTGACAAAGGGCCTCGGCTCCCTCACGCACGAGCGCGCTCCTTCGCCGCGTCATGGAACTCCCTCGCCTTATTGTACAAGGGTGTCCCTTTTGCAAAGCTCGCGTTGCCCGGCAAGCCTAAGGCAGCCCGAGCCTTGGCGACGCTGTCCTTCCACGATTGAATATCCGCCACCGTGCCTTGGCGCGAAGTGGAATGCCCCAAGGCTCATGCAGCTGCTGCAGGCAGGAGTGTGGTTTCTTAAAGGCCCAGACCACCGGTTTCCAATGTGCTCCTGGGCGCTCTCGGGCGCTCTCGGGGCGTTTCGCGCGGGTCTCTGGGGCGGCCCCCTGGCCCACGAAGGCCCTCCGCCAGGCCGAAAACGCCCCAGGAGGCCGCCCGGACAGTCCAAGGAATATCGCAATATGACGCCCAGGATAGCCTCGCGACGCCCCAAAAAGCCTCCAAGAGCATTGCCTGGAGGGCCACAAGCAGCAACATTCAATGATCTTCTTTAGGTTTCAAGAAAGAGTTTGGGCGTTCTCGCCGTTTCGGCTTCCCGACGCTCGAAAACACAACGGGAGGCCCCAAAGATCGCCCCAACACGGCAGATGCCCCCAAGGAAGCGCCGAGACGGCCTGAGACGCCCCCAAGACGGGCCAAGAAGCCTCCAAGCGGCCCACGGGGGCCACAAAAACTCGCGGGGACGGGCCCCAGAAGGAGGACACGAACCGACCTTTCGAGCTCACCGCCCCAAGACGCCCCCGGACCCCCCCGAGACGTCCTCCAGAAGCCCAAAGAGGCCCCCAAGAGGCCCCCAGGAAGCCCCAAGATGCCCCCCAAATGCCGCAACAGTGCTCCCCGTGACCCCCCCGAGAGCCCTCCGAAAAGTTTCCAAGAAGCATCCTTGAGTACTCTGGTCCACTACCCAGGCATGGTGGTTGGACCGAAGGCCATTAGATACTTCGCTTTCTCCACGCCAGCTGCCTTCGCTTTCAAACTTTTTGGCCGACTCTTCTGGAGCTGCTTGGCTGCTTCATCGGGCCGCCGCAGCACCCTCGACATGTTCTTCTTCTGCAAAACCTGTTCGGCCACATTCGCAGCAGCCACGCATCGTTCTAAGTGTTCCAGGCTCCCAAGAGAACTGTGACCCACTCGATTCCAATCTGCTTCCGGCTTCCCCTCCCGCTCGTCATATCCGCAGCGATACGTAATACTTATGTGTCGCGACAGTGCATTCCCAGCCTCGCTTGCCCGCTGTGGCCGGGCATGTTTTGCAACTAGATGCAAGTCTTCCAAATGGCCCACGAGGGAGTCACGCAGGTGCCTTTTCAACTCATTTATGGGCTTAGCCAATCCAGCCTTCTCGTTCACTGCGTGCGGCCTCCGAATCACAGCGGGGTCGTTCACCGCGGTGCCGCTGGAGGCTTCTGTGGCTTTTCGTTTCGCGGGCGCCTTTCCCTTCGTCGCCGCCATGGGAATACAGAGCTTCAACCTCTTAGGTTTATAAGCTTAAGCCGCGATGGCAACAGGCCCGCAACACTCAACCTGCCTCTTTCTCCGCCTCCTCCTCCTCATCATCATATCGCCCCGGCCTCCTCACCCTCCTCATCATCATCATTACCATCATTATGCGATTCACCCCTCCTCCTGCTCCTCGTCTTCATGATCCTCCCATCGTCATCGACATGACCATCATCACTATCATCATCGTCAGCATCATCACCAAAAACATCTTCCTCACCATCCATCGCCGTCATTCTCCTCATGGATTGGAGCAGCTGTTTCCAAAAACGCTCGACTGGCACGGTCGCGGGACCTGCAGCAGGCAGCTGAATACCTTGTACGTAATAAAAGGCGTTACTGTGAGGGGGGAAGGGGAGAGGGGGAGAGAGGGGAGAGGGGAGTCGGGGGAAAGGGAAGAGGGCAGAAGGGAGGGAAGCGGGGAAAGGAGGGGACGCAGGGAGAGACGCGAGGAGGGGGGAAAGGAGGGAAAGAGTCGAATCACAACACTGGGAGAGCCCCGGATCGGCGGCACGGGCAGGAGGCCACTACAATAGTTCCCTAAACTCCTCTCTCTCTCTCTCTCGCCAAGACTTGCAATCCCGGGGGGTTTTCACTCCCGCCACCCAATTCCAAAGTCTCAACTTCGGCGCGACCAGCTTTTGACGCCCAGACGCCCCCCAAATGGACCAGCCTTTTCCGCCCGCTCCGACACCCAGGCGCCCACGATTGTTCAAGATAGGCGGCGAGCCAGGGGGGGAAGTGAGAAGGGGCGTGCCTTCTCAGAAGGCCCGGAAGTCCCACGGACTTCTGAAAAGTCCCACCAGCCTTCTGGGCGTCGGTGGTTTAGGGAATTTCCTCTTCCACCCCTCCTTCTTCCCCTTCGGGGAGGGTTTTATCCCTCCCCCTACCCCCTCCCCTGGACCTGGACAGGGTGTTCCGCGAGGTGTCGGAGCGTCCAAAGCGGCCTCGGCGAGGAAACAGCGCCTGGAGAGAAGGAAATTGGGCGTCCCGCAGTGGGCATGGGAGCGGTGGGGGTGAGAGAGGCGGTTGGGTTAGACACGAGGGCTTCGTGCCCACGGTCATCGCGTCCAGGGGAGCGACGGAAGGTCGCAGCGTCGGAGTGCATTCTGCCAGCGTTCTCACGACCACCACCCATGTGGGTTAGCTCCCTGATGCACTCTTCCCCTTCACACCGTTCCCTGGGCTGAACACCGCGGGCGTTCCTCTGCCCGTCGCAGTCCGTTCCACGGAAGCGACGGAAGGTCGCAAGATCTGTGTGAATTGTGGGGATGGACGCGTTACCCCCTCCTCCAATGCTGCGCCTGCCGCTCTCAGGCCCCTGAGGGTGGCCACAATCATTGGTTTTACTAAGGTTTTGGGCACATTTTGGCTTCTTGGGGGGGGCCTAATCAAAGCTCCCCTCTTGTTTGATCGATCTCCTCCAGTATGGCCCCGAGAAGCGCGCAGGAGGCCCCAAGAGGTCCCAAAATGGCCGTAATATGGCCCCATGAGGCCCCCAGGAGGCCCCCCAAATAATCCCAAGCGGCCCCAAGAGGCCCCCCCGAGGCACCCAAGACGCCGAAGAGCCCCCCACGACCGCCAAGAGACCCCCAAGACGTCCCAAGACGCCCAGGAGATTTCCCAAGAGGTTCCGAAAATCATCCAAGAGACCTCTGGCCCTTTTGCTTGCTCTCCTCCTCCTCTTCCTCCTTCCTCCTCCTATCCCTTCTCCTCCTCCTCCTCCCCCTCCCCCTCCGCCTCGTCCTCCTCGTCCTATTCATCCTCCCTCTCTCTACTCCCTCATCCATCCATCCAATTTTCTCCTTCGCCCCCTCTCTCCTTCACACGGTTCGGCCGTCCCCCTCTTTGCTCCCGCATTTCCCTGATCACCTCGCAAATCGCCTGGGCATCGTTTCTTGATGGGCTGGTCGGGATAGTTTTGGTCAACAAGCTCGCGAGGCGGGTCGACAGCCGTCTGAACACTAGTCGGGCCGCGACTAGGCAGCAGGAGAAGAAAGGCAAGCGAAGCGAGGGAGCGGACAGCCACTCAGAAAGGAGAGCCAGAACCGGTACTCCCAAACCCGGTGGCGTTGGAAATCCCGGTGGCGACCAGCAAGTAAGCGCAGCCAAAATGGCGCGGCGGCGCGACCATAAACACGCAGAGGTCGATCGCTTGGTGTGAGTCAGGCAAACAGCACCGTCAGAGACGAATTAGACCGACAGGCACACCCAGATGACAACCGTGAAGCAGGCGGCAAAACTGCCAAAACATCATGTCTGCGCAAGAGTGAAGAGGGGCAACCTCATCACCGACAAAACTGCAAACGGCAGTGAAACCTGTAACACTTGTCGAAAGCGAAGTCCATGCAGGAAAACGTCGGCCAACGAGCGTACATAACCACACTTGCCGAACCCGAGGTCCAGGTACCGTAAGGTAGGCCGTGTAGCGAGCGGCTCACTGGAACCTTTCGGTCATCGCTGGTGGGGATACTTTTTCCGTCGCGGCCGCAGACGAGCGCGCCAGCGGCGTCAATGGTCGGGCGGGCTACGCGCGAACCTAATTGCCTAACGCGCCGGCTCACCGGTGGCCTAAGCAGCACCTAAGCGGACCGGGGGCGAGAGGTGGTGCGGGCTGCGCTGGTGGGGGTACTTTTTTTAGCCAGCGGCCGCGGGCGAGCGCGCTGGCGGCGAGTCCAGTCAAAGCGGGGCACGCAGCGACGAATTACCCTAAAGCGACGGAGGGTGGCCACACCTACAGCGGCTAACCGAGCCCTCACGCAGCAGCCCAGCGGCGGACTGGCGATTCAGGGGGCAGCTGAAACTGAGTCGCACTGCCAGCGTGCAAATATGCAAGGCGTCGGGGCTCCAGGGAGTCGGGACACACGACGACCCGGGCCATAAGCCGAAATTAATGCAAGGACGCAGCCCCGGACAACTGCGTGAGTACCAGGGTGGCCCGAAGGGCCGTCGGTCAAATAATTAAAGCCAGCAGGCGAGAGCGTTGGCGGGCTGCGACATCCCAGGGTAGCCGTAGCCGCATAGTCCCGAGGCAGCAGAACGCACGAGTGCGGGAAGCAGCAGAGCTGCCACGCAGCCAAAATGGCGCGAGTCACCAGGAACCAGTGCGTGAAGTGGCGCCAGGTTGACCCACCACGAGCCCTGCACGCTGGCGGGAACACTTTTTTGTCAGCGGCCGCGGGCGAGCGCGCCGGCGGCGAGTCCAGTCAAAGCTGGGCACGCAGCGACGAATTAGCCTAAGGCGACGGAGGGAGGCTACTGGTGGGGATACGTTTTTTTTTTTTTTTTTTTTTTTTTTTTTTTTTTTTTTTTTTTTTTTTTTTTTTTTTTTTTTTTTTTTTTTTTTTTTTTTTTTTTTTTTTTTTTTTTTTTTTTTTTTTTTTTTTTTTTTTTTTTTCTTTCTTTATTTATTTCTTTCTTTCTTTCTTTCTTTCTCTCTCTCCGCCCGCCGGCGGAGGCGCCGACGGCGGGCGGTCGCGGTCGGGCTGCGGCCGCGACTAGATTGCGGGCG